TTACTGCATTTAAAACAACTGTTTTATGCCATGGAATTTCTGTTGCTACCTCTGCTAGTGATTGAGCAATTCAGTATGTCTTGAATGTCAACATATTTTTATTACTTAGCTAAAGTTGGCTTTAGCTGGATTAAACGTCATTTTAAAATGATCATTTGGAAACCTGTTTAGGGTTGTCTTCACGTTTCTGAAAGGAAAAAGGTTGCGAGATACAAGTGATCTTGAAATTTGCCGTTAAAATACGCCCTTTATCTGCCATCCTAAGAGTGTAACATTCTAGGTCTTTAGTAAATGGTTTTCTTTTGATGTCTTTGAAAAGCTAACATGGTATCCCAGTGCTGGTTAAGCCTTTACTTGGGGAAATGGTCTGCCTTGTGCTTCACTGTTGTTGAGAAATAGAACATTCCTGTGAGAGTGAGAAAGAAGCAAAGCAACAGGGCAGTGAAAATCCTCGTCTGGTTAGTATGGGAGAGGCCCCTCCACTGTTGCTTCACAGTAGGCCTCTGATAGGAGTGGCCTCTGCCTAGAGTCGAGAGGACAGCCAGTACCTACCACGCACCTCCACTTGGGCAAAACTTCATTACGTCAAACCATAAAAGACAACCAAGTAATTACATTTTATTAAAATGTGCACACCAGAGGATCACTTTCCCAATTCAGAGGAAACCAGAGGTGTCATCAGCCTCCTTGTGAACTTGATCATCGTTGTGCGGGGACACAGGGAAGAGACAGGCACAAAGCAACTTTGTTCCATATAATTCATTGGCATTTTATGTGATAACCTTTGGTTTGTGAGATGTTTTCCAATTGGAAGAGATTGTGTGACACTAAAGTATATATATGTGCCATTTGATGGTAGGGTAGAAAATGGGCAGTAAACCAAAACTTGTTTCTCGACTTTCTGTAGTATAAAAATGATACAAGGCAAAGAGGTGGCAGAGGGTATTTAGATACTTTGCTTACTACACTGCATTGTCGAGAAATGAGATATCTTTCATAGTGCGTTAGAAATGAGCTAGATTTTTCTCCGTCTGCAAATGGTAGGGGATACCTACTTCTCAAGGCTTTCATGATCCTAGGCCTGACCCCCTGCTCTCTTCTCCCACTCTCTGACAGTGAAGAATGCAGCCAGCAGGTAGGCATGGGAATCCCAGGCTGTGTGTGACTAGCTTCTGTTGTTAAAATGGGACATGAACTCTAGGTGTATGGTGTCAGTTTTAAAGAGGAGACATGACAAGTCATATCTCACATTCATTTCCAGACCCAGGTAACAGAAAACTACTTGGGAACTTTGAGTAACTTTTAAAGTTTTTTTAAAAACCCTGAGTGGAGCAAGCAGTTCACACTCGACTGACACCCTGATGGTTGGTGGTTTGAATCTACCTAGTGGTGCCATGGAAGAAAGTCCTGGGGATCTGCTCCCATAAAGAGTGCAGCCAAGAGAACCCTATGCAGCTCTGTGCTGCTCTTTGAACCCATGAGGTCAACATGAGTTGGAACCAGCTCGACAGCAGCCACTTTGGTTTCAGTTTCTTGAAGCTTAAAAAAGATAACTCTTGAAAGATATATCTTCTAGGGGATATATCTTCTTGAAAGATATATCTTTTAGGGAAAAGTATAAAGTATCAACATTTCCACCCAGTGTTCGGAGAGCTTGATTTCGCAAAGGAACCATTTTCTTTGAACAACATGATGACAGTATGGGCTCAGCACATGTTTTGGGGCCTTGAAGAACCTAGATGTGTCACTTACAAGCTGTCCTCTTTAGCGAGTAAATCACAACAGCACCTGCCTCATAAACAGATCATAAGGATCAAATCTGACTATAATGGTGTGCAGAGCACAGTGCTGGCAAATACTCCCTAGGCAGCACAAATGATTAACTTGCTCAACTACTAGCCTGAAGGTTAGATGTTCAAGCTGACGTTAGAAGAAAGAACTGAGTGATCTACTTTGACTGTCACTCGTACAGTAATCTACAAAGTAAGTTGTTATTACCATTTCAAAAATGAAGACATAAAACCACAGGGAAATTATGAAACTTACTCAAAGTTACCTGCCTGAATTCCCTTTGTCAATCTACTCCAAAGAAGAGCTATTTTTCCTCCTCTGTGATATTAAATATACTGCTCTAAACGGTTCCAAGTCACAAGCTAGACACTGTCCTCCCAAGCATGCCAGGACCAACCCTCACCCAATAGAAAATAGATAGCACATTGTAGTGGGACGGCCCGGAACCCAGATCCCAGTGGCCCAGTCAAGTTCTTGGAAATAATACATGTGAAGTGCCAAGAATATACCTAGTAGTCAATAGTTAACCATTTAAAGATAATCAAAGTCCTTAAGTCTGTCTTTGAGAGTGTGAAACCAACTTCCTCCTTGGAGGCTAGGATTTTGAAGCTCCATCTTACATACTTTGGCCATGTGGCCAGAAGGGGCTGGTCCTTGGAGAAGAACATCATGCTTGGAGGGATAGAGGGACAGCGCAGTGGAGGAAGACCCCAAAGGAGATTGTTGTTGTTATGTGCCGTCAAGTCATTTGCAACTCATAGCGACCCTATGTACAACAGCCCTAAACCGTGCTCTATCCTGTGCCAATCTCATTGCCTCTGACACACCCATCCCGAGTACCCCAGTCACTGAATCAATCCACCTCATAGAGGGTCTTCCCCTCCTGCGCTGTCCCTCCACTCTACCCAGCATGATGTCCCTCTCTAAAGACCTGTCTCTCCTTACATCATGTCCAAAGTATGTCAGACGACGCCCCAGAATCCTTGCCTCCAAGGAGCAGCCTGGTTTAATCCTCTCTACGATGAATCTGTTTGTTTTCTTGGCAGTCCATGGTACATTCAATACTCTTCTCCAGCACCACAACTCAAAGACGTCAATTCTCCTTCTGTCCTCCCTAGTCATTGTCCAACTCTCTGATGCATAACAAGTGATTGCAAAGACCATGGCCTGTATCAGGTGCACCTTAGTCTCCAGAGAGAGGCACTGTTGCTCTTGAGTATTTTGGAGAGGTCCCTAACTGCAGACTTTCCCATCACAATACATTTTTTTATTTCCTGGCTACTGGTGCCAAGAGTGTTGACTGTGGGGCTGAGCAAACTGATTGTGGTAATAGGGGAATGTCAGAATTAGTGAGACTGCCTCAGGACAGGGCAGGCTTTAGAGCTGCTCTACATAGGGTCACTATTGGTAGCAGGTGACTCAACAGCACAAAACAACAACAACAGGGAACAGGGTGGTCGGAATAGTTTCTAGAGAGTTCTGAAATCCTGATCAGAACAGTACATTGCAGATGTAACCAGATGTAGGAAGGCAGCAGCTGTCTGGATATAACATGGACCTTGTGGACAAAGGGATTGCCTATATCTTGAAAATCATGTTAAATAACAATATTATGTATTGGTTTACATATGTATTATATATTCTATTGTTATTTTAATGTGGACTTTCACTACTTAACAATTAAAACATTTACTGTAAAAAAAATAAATAAAGGCAAAGTTCTCAGAACCACACAAGCTCTCTTCAGCAGCCCATAATACTAAATGATACAGAGGAGATGAGCATGATGGCTGCGCAAGGATGACACACAAATTCGTGGAGCATTTCATGTTTTAAAAGGTGGAGGGTCAGTGAATGAGGGGAAATCCATCAACAAAATGGATTGACACCGTGTGTCACAGGTGCTGAGGATGAGGCTGGACAGGGCAGGGTGCAGATAGGGTCGCTGTGAGTTGTACTCACTTCGACTGCACCTAAGGGCAGATGCATGTAATGAATCCCTGGAAGTTGGTACTTCTGATTCTCACCAGGAGAATTGTGCAGCCTCAGTTAGAGCCTGACAGTACAGGTCCATCCCCACCTACCTGTCAAGACTGCAGGAGGACAAACCACATACCTGATAGCAGACGCAGATCAGAAAGCCCAAGACAAGAAGGGGATCACTTGTCTTCTGTTTGAACTTGACAGCCAAGTGCCTAGGCCTACCACAGTGTCCTTCTAGTTGCCATCCAGGCAGTTCCTATTCATGGAGCCTCTGTGCGTGTCAGTAGAACTGTATTCCAGAGGGTCTTCAGTGGCTCATTTTTTTCAGGAGTCAGTCATCGGGGCAATCCTGTGAGGCACCTCTGGGCACACTAGACCCTGCACATTTTCATTTAGCAGCTAAGCACGCTGATCATTTTTCTACCACCCAGGGATTCCAGCACAGTGCCTGGTCCATAATAAAGAACTTTGTATTTACTGCCTGACCCAGTGATGTTATGTCAGTTCTGCATAATGTCTTTATGAAAGAATTTTAAAGACTTCTCAAGAATGCTATCATGAGAACACTTCTGAATCCTTTTAAAAACCATGCTCACCATGGTCCCCATAGTCAAAGTCCCAGAGTACTTTTGCTTTTCTCATACTGTTCACTGATCTTGTTGTTAGTTCTTCCACTTTTTATGCACCGAGTGCCATCAAGTCAGAACCAACTAAAAGTGATCCTTTGTTAGGTTTTTCAAAGGCTGTAAATCACACCAAAAGAGATTGTCCATCTTCTGCCAGTGGAGCAGCTGGTGGATTCAAACTGTGTACCTTTAGGTTGGCAGCACAACTCCTTACCACTCAGCCACCAGAGCCCCTTTTTAGCCCCATTGTTTTTACCACATCACTCACTTTGGAAACTCTTTGTCTGTTCTTTGTCCTTTCCAGCCTGTAGATTACCTGCAGAGCTTGCTCCCTGTCTTTCACACAGGCAGTGCTCAAGGTCAAGTTAGTGACCTTGACTGTGGACAAGGTCATCTTGTTCCTTCATTTGTAAAACTTGACAGGCAGGCCTCCACAGGCTCCTAGGTCCCCTTCACTACTGAGATCTCTCAACCTCTCTACAACCTTTGTTTTCTCCCACAGTAAGAAATGAGGTAGTTTGACCGTCAATCTAAAATCGGTACTAATGCTGCAACAAGATAACATTTTCAATGGTGTTTTCTCATCCTTTTCTTCTGTAGACTGTAGACTGCTCTGGGATTACGTCTATCAATTGCTTTCTGACAGCCGGTACGAAAACTTCATCCGATGGGAAGACAAAGAATCCAAAATATTCCGGATAGTGGATCCCAACGGACTGGCTCGACTATGGGGAAACCATAAGGTAAAGGGCACCAGACGTTTGCTCTATAAACTAGTGCCAAAAAAAAGTCTTTATCGCTGGATTGGAGGATAATTGTCTGTCTCCTGCTTCCTAAATATGCCCGTAATTATTCAGTTTATTCCTCACTGGGCAAACAATTAGACAGTTGCAAAGGGAAGGAAATCATTAAAGATGCCGCTCTGTTTGTTGCTTGTGCCAGGTACTTGTTAAGTCACACATCCTGGTTTGATGGGGCTGCGTCATGAGGAACCCTGGCTCCCACTCCCCTTGACCCAGCCCTGCCCCCCACACCTTCAGTACTGACAGGGAACAGGGGAAGCACAGTGGGACTCTATGACTCACAGGACGCTTTGGGAAGTGTCACTTCTGTTCTGCTCAGCTGGAAACTTTCATATTCATGAGAGCCCATTTCAACATGGAAAATTACTTATATTCTGATTCTAAAACATATCCTTTAAAAGCAAACTGTGCAAGAAATCTGATTGCACCAGACTGGGAAGAGGAAATGAAGTTTGAGAGAGAAAGTCTTTTCTAGTAAGGCAGGCTATTTGAGTGAGCGGATGTGAAAAGCAGATAACTGCCATCCCAGCCAGACCACAGACAGGTAGATCTGGGCAGATCCTGCCAGGCAGTGAGGTGGCCTGGCTTCGCGTCAGCATGAGAGGACAGGAGGTAGGGACAAGCGCTGCCGGTCCTGAGCCTTTGAGGAAGGCAGGACCACTAAGGCCCACTGGTAATGCTGAGGAGAACTGAACACCAGCCATGACCAAACATGGCAAGGCCTCACGGACAGGCACTTCTGTGTGTGAGTCACTGAGAGAAATCCTCCTCTAACCCCGCCATCGAACCAGAGCCTCGAGGCTCAGAACCACAGCATTCTTGCGTCTGTGAAAGAAGTTTAAACAAAAACCAAAATCTTTTCCTGAAAATAACAAACCAGAAACACCAGTTTGGGAAAGGTCACTGAGACAAAAAAAAATTTCTTGTGTGGGTCAGAGGGGAAGGATGACCAGAGATGGGGAACCTGCATGAGGTTCCTCAGGCAGAGCAGAGAGCCGTCCTGGGAAACGGAAACAGGAGCTTATTAAGAGTTGGGCTTTGTTAACTGGAGTTCCCAGACTTCTCACAAAGGGCCATTCACCTCAGCAGAAAGCCAAGGGGTGGGAACTGGGAGGCGGCAGATTAGCAGGTAGTTTTCCCAAACTGGCAGGGCCTGGAAGAGCAGCTGAAAGCTGAGGAGCTTAGATTTTAATAGCTCCCCCAGTGCCTTTTCTCTGAGGTTCATTTCATTGTGTCTTTGTGCTTTTTTGTTTTCTCTTCCTCCTCTGAACAAACAGAACAGAACAAACATGACCTATGAGAAAATGTCCAGAGCCCTGCGCCACTACTACAAACTAAACATTATCAGGAAGGAGCCAGGACAAAGGCTTTTGTTCAGGTAGCACTTCCTTTTTCTCCTTTCCGTCTTTCTGGGAGGATATTGTTTTCTTTAAATAAGAAGGAGGGGGAAGGCTGTTCAGATCTCTACCTGCCTGTCTGATGCCCAAAGCCATTATTGCCACAAATTGGATGCCAGGTGTTGGGATATTTTTTTAACAAAAAAAAACAAACTTTTTTTCTTTTTAAATTTTCATCTTGTTTTGAAATAAAACCAAAACTAAATAAATAATCTGATTCATCTTTATTGTAATACAGTGATCAAATAACATTTTCTGGCAAGTAGCTACTGGGAAAAACCAGAGGCGTAGTGCCAATGGCAGAGCAAAGAATTTAACCCACACTTCCAGGTTAAGCTATTTCTAAACCGAAATTTTTACATCTGAAAGTTATGACCCATTTAGAGAGTCATGAGATGGTTAAATGGGTTAATGTTGTTATATGCCATCGAGACAGAAACTGCTCATAGCTGACCCTTCAGCAGGTTTTCAGAGACAATAAATTATGAGAGGAGATTGCCTGTCTTTCTCCTGAGAAACGACTGGTGGATTTGAACCACCTGAGGCCTTTAGGAGGGTAACACAACTCCTTACTACTAAGCCACCAGAGTGCTTTTATGGGTTACTAGCAACTTTTCCTTTTTTAATGCACTGGAATAGGCTATTATATTACATCACGAAGGAAGAGCAGTTTATTTTATAAAATATTTGTTTCGAGTGTTTGTACGTCTGATAAGTCACAGTGTGAAATGCATCGTAAACTGAAAACCATGCTCTATTAGACAGTCCTCTTTCCAGAATGACTGTGTTCCAGCCATTTAAACTGCCACGTAATAATACTTGCAATTTAGGACTATTGAGAGAGCATTAAGATAGAAGACGAAGAAGAGATCTGAAAAACCAATCACTAGGGATAGAAGTAGACTTCTGAGGTTGGTTGGTTGTATTTGAATACACAATGGGACAAGGTGAGGTAACAAACATGACCTTAGGCCTTGAATGTTGCAGCTTAGACCAGAAGGAGTGACAGATGGGGCTACAGATACAGATTTAGTGTGACCTGTGTGTAGGTGGAAATTGACACCATGTATGATCAGATGAGCCTGCCAGGATGATAAGTATTTCTGGAAAGAGCAGAGAACCAAGGTTTTAACATCCGAAAGAAATGGTAATGTAGGATTGTTAAAAATAATTAAGACTCTCTTCCAAGCAGCTGGTGAGTTCAAACCACTGACCTTCCAGTTAACAGACAAGTACTTGCAACCATTGTATCACTAGGACTCCCAGAGTTTTTCAGAAGAAACAAAACATTTTTCAAGAAATGGAAACAGAACGGAACAAAATAAAAAAGACAATCCTCTTCTTCTGGATCTGCTAACGATTTTTCCTCCTCTTACATGAAATCTGTTTTGTCCTCACCTAGGCTAAGGCCTTCTTACTTTTTTTCCATTTTCCCTGGACAAGCTGATCCCATCATAAAGAATCTGTTATCACCTCAATGGTTAGACTTGTCAGTCTCAAGATAAAACTCTAAAATCTCCCTGAAATGTCAAATCTGAATTTCTAAGAGTGTCTCCTAGGATATGTCCTCTTGAATACCATGGTAATATCTCAAGCTCATGTTCAAAATGAACCTACCTCATTAACTAGAAATCCCACCCTGAATTCTTGTTACTCATCAATGGTATCGGCATTATTTTAGGCAACCAATTTTAAATTCATCATCTTTGAATTTTCTCTGTCCAGGTCAGTCATTGTGCTGGATTCCCTATTGTCTATTCAGGACCATCCCTACTGTTTACTACATTACAGTCTAGAAGCTGGGAACCATATTTCCCAGAATTTCTTGCTAGTAGTTGGCAGGTTGGAATCAATTAATAACGAGCTCTTACTTGAGATTTAGGAGATGTAAGAAAGACCAAAGTGTTATTATTCCTTTATGGCAATGGAGACCGACATCTAGACTTCATGAGTCACTCCTGAAATAATTCAACAATCTCTTCCCACCTCTGGTCGACCCCCCACCTACCAATTCTTAATACATATTGCTGTCTGCCCTAGAGCACTAGGATGATTCCCTGTTCTTTAAATGTGTATCTCTTTTAACTCACTGTCCTAATGCTACACATCCTCTAGACCCAGCTCCGGGCTTCTGTCCTTTGTGAGGTCTTCTTCAGCTGCTTCAAACACTGAGAAGTAGTGCCTTCCATCATCTCTTGGGTGTCCTTGGCCTTTAACATGTTATGTTGTGCATTTTTTATAGGAGTATGTGTAAAGTTCTTCTCTCCTTGTTAAATAGTTGTTGTGATGTGCCATCGAGTCACTTGTGGCTCATAGCAACCCTATGTACAAGAGTTCTAAACGCCGTTCTATCCTGTGCCAACCTAGACATCTCAAACACACTCATTCCCACCACTCCACTCATAGAATTGATCCATCTCATCGAGGGTCTTCCTCTCCTGCGCGGTCCCTCCACTCTCCCAAACATGATGCCCCTCTCCAAGGACCAGTCCCTCCTTGCAGCATGCCCAAAGTATGTCAGACGAAGCTTCAGAATCCTTGACTCCAATGAGCATTCCGGCTTCACCCTCTCCAGGACAAACCTGTTTGTTCTCCTAGCAGTACATGGTATATTCAACACTCTTCTCCAGCAAAGTAAAGGATGATATTTTATATTCTATTTAATACCTTATGGAGGCTTTCAGTAAGTATTTCATGACAAGCCTGGTGACAAATCTCAGAAAAGTAGTCAAAAGAATACAGTGAGGAACACATGCAACAGATCTATGAACTGGGCCTAGGAGATCATTAGTGACTTCAACTGTTGAGAAGTTTTAGCTGGAACATGAATGGAGCAGACAGACTCCCACTGCTTGAGAAGTTCACTAGGAAGGAATGGAAAAAGAAAAGCAGTTATAATTGGAAGAACGCAAAGGTTTCCCCTAAAATATTTTCAACATGATTGGGGCAAGACGAGTGGTCATTTCCAAGGAAATTAAGTGTTGGAAGCAAAACTTGCCACAAAATGAAGGCTTCTTGTTATAAGACACAGTATGTAATCAGGCAAAGTGTTAACGTGTAAATACTTCTTATAAGATTTATAGGCGTTAAGAGACAGAAGAGTTTAGTGTGCACTAATGCTTTTAAGCAACTCCTTAAAAATTAGAACTCAAAGAATGAGCGGGTAAGGTCAAGGAATAAAGAGTGTTCAGGACAAAGGCAAAGCTAAAGGTTTGTGGTAAGTCACAATTTCTAGAAAAAGAAAGACTGATCATATTAGAGTAGAAAATTGGGCTTTCTTGAGCAAAGAGGATATAAAGAGGGCTTGATAAGGCATCATCAAGGCTTCTAAACAGAGTGGTGAGCTAAAATAGATGTTTTGATACTGTTCATCAAGGCAGGGCAGAGCATAAGACAGGAAAGCTGCAGCCTTAGAGGTAAGGTTGAAGCTGTGGGAACCAGTACTCACAATAAGAGCAGAACATTACTACCCTCACAGAATCCGGCTGCCTTTCTTTGCAGTGTAAATTGTGCTCAAAGCATGTCCCTGATGTTCTGTCCAAGTGAACCTCTTTATGTACCCAGCTGCAAAGGAAGATAGACTGGAAGGGATTCATTGCTAGCTCTTGGGGTGGATTAGTGATAACACTGAAAGAGTCTCTTTCTTTTTGTCTTTCTGATTTTCCAAAAGCACCACTAACTAGCCCTATTATCAGATTTTTCCATTCAGCATTTAATTGTATCCCTTAGTTAAATTCAAGTTTTGAATACCATTCCCTAGTCAGCCACAGAAATGGATATACAGCTCTCACGGGCCTTTGTATAATCTAACTCTCTGAAAAGAAGAACTCTGTGTAAAGCATCTATGCCTGGGTTTAGGAGCTATTTCTTCATCTAGTTAAACAAGTTGTGTCCTGCCTAGCTCTCTATTGTGTATATAAGGTAGCATATGCTATAGGGTGGTGTTATGCTACTGGTGGGTTATCATTTCACCAGTTTACAAGAAGAAAGGGAACCCGTTTCTCATTTGCACCATGTTGAACACAAGTGGTCAGTTTGACTAGCTCTCCAGCTCAATGAGATGATAGAGCCTTTCTTTATAGATTGGAGGTAAGAATAAAGACCATTTTAGCAAAGTATAATCACTTCAGTTCTCTTCCACAGGTTTATGAAAACCCCCGATGAAATCATGAGTGGCCGGACAGACCGCCTGGAGCACCTAGAGTCCCAGGAGCTGGATGAACAAATATACCAAGAAGATGAGTGCTGAAGGAACCACGACAGCACAGCGCCAGAGACCCTGTCCGCCAGGATTGCTGGAGCAGGGACGGAACAGGGGGCTGTGGAGCAAAGGAAGAGACCCCGAAGAGAAGTGATGCTTCTCTTGTGTACCAGGAGGGACCCCAGAGCACCTTAGACAAACCAGCCAGCAAAGGCGGGGCTGGAATTTTGGCTGAGGGCACGAGCCTGGGATTCACGCTTCACGTTTCCTTCTTGTATGGAATCTCCGCATCTGTGATTCCTCCTCTCACCCTGCCACCTATTGTTAGTTTCATGGTGTTCCTGTTTTTGTTTTGTTTCAGTTGGTTTTTTGTTTTTGTTTCTTTGGGTTTATTTTTTTAAAGAACACACAATTTGACTTTTCATCGTTCATATAGGGGAAGACTTCTGGTGATGTTTTCCTATGGAAATATATACCTATTATATATAAATTTTTTTTTTGCAGATCTCACAAAGTGCACCAAGCCCAGCTGGTCAGGAAAGAGAATACTTGCTATTGGGTTTTGGCTGAAAAAAAAAACATGAAAAAGGAAAAAAAAAAAGAAAGACGCTTTTCTAAAAAAGTGAAAGGGGAGCCCTTTTTTCTCTCTCATCCTCTTTCTTCCTTTCCTTTCCCCTCCTCTCTGCTTGGCCACCTCTGGACTTTAATGCCTTTCCTCACAGAGGGCCTTGGGAATTGGTACCCAGTCAGTGACTAGCACCATAGAGCCAAGCCCACCCCACAGCCCAGAGCCTTAGATCTTAGGGAGGCCCAGTCCATTCCAGATGCTGCTGAACTCCAGAAAAATGAAGTTCTTATCCAGCCAGGCCCCTCCAAACATGGCTGTAAGGGCCACATGGTTTGGTGTTTCTAAGAGTGTAAGATAAGGATGGAATGCTGTCCAAGGTATTTGGAAGGCCCAGATTCTCAGGATTAGCTTGCAAGTGCTGTAAAGTGGAAAATAAGAAAAGATCACACAGGCTTGGCAGTGCAGAAACTGGCTGAAAATATTCTACTGTGGGGGTTTATCTTTTTGAAGCAGGTTATTGAGGCTGAGAGGAAAGAAAGGTCTTCTTTACATCATCCCAGGGGTCATCTTGCAGTCAGTTTCATTCCCTCACCATTCTTAGTCTTGCCACCACCTTCTTTCTTTTTAAGTTGCCTGGTCCCCATTGGGCATGGGACATTTGCAAAGGACTGTCTCAGAATATAGCCTCCATTGCTCCCAGCATGTTTCCAGCCTGGGCTGACAGGCTGTTCCTCGAATACATTTTTTTCTTTTTTCCTTCCTTCTTACCCGTTTTCACCTCCAAATAAGATTGGTAATATCTTACAAAATGAGGAAAATGCCAACCTTTGTACTTTAGATGATAACATCTTTTCAGAGAATTGTTTTAGATGTTTTTTCCTCTTTTCTAGCCTTTAAAATTGACTCTTCCAAAATAAGTTCAGACTTCCCTTATTAGGAGTACAGATTTCCTTATTTTTTTACATTTTAATCCAAAAGGTCAGCCCTGCTTTATAAAGCACCCTGTCTTCTTCTGCTTGTTTCTTCTATTCAGCTGGGTGAGGATCCCAAAGCCACTCCAGGGTATGAAAGTGACCTGTCAGCAGTTCTTCTCAGAGGAAGCAATGACGCCCATGCTTCCTCTCATACCACTTTATAGAGTTGAGCCAGCAGGTGGAGGGGGAAAACATGGGAGGTATTCCCTGGGCTTACTGACAGCTGCAGAAACTTGGGTGACAGAAAGATTGACTGAGATTCAAGGACAACTGAAATGAATTCATCACCGAGGCTGTTCCATCTTACTCTGTTCTTACCTAGTCTTGGATCACCAGTAGACGCACCAAGGTCAGTCCCTCAGCCACATGCTCCCCACTAACTTTCCCAAATGATGACTTACTTGTGTGTGAGGGTGGGGATCTGCTCTGTGAGGTTGAAGAGCCCCATTTTGAAGGGTTTGGTCCCATTCTACTTGAATGATGATAAAATTCTTGGGATTCCAGCATGCCACATAGGTCTTTCAGGAGTGTCCAGCAGTTCACAAAATAATATGTTGTCCATCCTTTAAAATGACTGATGGCATACCCCGAGAGGAGGGATTTGAAGCCTAATCCCTGGTGTGTAGTGGAATCCATGAAGTCTTTACTTAAGAGCAGAGTTTAAGGGCTGGAGAGAAACGGAGGCCTTTTCTGAGGCCATCTGTTTGAAATCAGAGGTTAAAGAGATGATAGTTTTCTTCTCTAGGCTTGGGATGGCTCACTCCAGCCACTTACCAAATAGAACTCAGTCCTGTCTAACTCAAAGACTAGTAAACTATGGAGAGAAATTCTTATTTGTCTCAAGGATTTGTGTATTTAAAGCAAAGTTCTGGAAGTATACATAAGACTTAGGGTTACACTTTCAACCACTTGGAGAAATAGCAGAAGGTGGAGTCTCAGTATAGTCATTTCTCATTCAGCGGTCACCAATAATTGTTTTTTTCCCATCCCCTTACCACCAAATGGTCACCTCGTTTATTCTTTGAGAGAAGACCCAGATAATGCTTTAACCAAGGCTGCAGTGTTTGCATACTGGACCTCAAAGATTTCTGAGTGCATTTAGCAAGCCTTTGTAAAACACCTGCTGGACTCTGAAGGATCCAAACATGAGTGAGGACTACATATGATCCGCAGAATCCAGCAGGCATGAAATTTGTCACTTCAACACTAAGTGCTCGGGGTGATGGGAATGTCATCCAGGACCAAATTAAAAGCTCATTTGCCCTTTAAATAATCATACTGTCTTTGCCATCCCAGGAACTTTTGCCCCATACAGACAGAAACTCAGAGAAACAGAGGAGAGCTTCCTTTAAGTGCATTAGGATAGACACCCCAAACATCTTATCAGCTCCTTAAATTAGCCAGGTCACCACATCTCCAGGGACGGAAAAAAAAAATGTCTGGGCAGCCTTTGTTGAAGGTGACATTATATCTAAGATTTTTTGTTTGTTTGTTTTACTGAAGACAGCATTGACAGTGTTCCAGTGTGGTGAAGGGTCCCCGCTGGAAAAAGGAAATTTAAAAAATCGTAGGTTTTCTCCTTGTTACAGTATGTTTGGAACTTTCTGATCCTTTGCTTTCTTATACTGATAGTTTGTCCAGTTGAGAAAGCAGCTTTCTTTAGCTGAAACTTAAATGACTGATAGCATTTACCCTAACTGGAGAAGCTGCCACCAAGCCCACCTTTCATTGCCTAGGATCCAACTTTGAATACATTTTCGAACAGGAACTCCCTTTCACAGAAAGGAAACCTGAGTATCAGAGAGGTAACGTGACTTGCCCTGGGGGCAGACAGCATGCCAGGGATAGAATTAGGATTGGGATCCAGCCCTGGCCATAACCCCATTTGACTCATTCTCACCCAGGAAGCAGACAATGAAAGGTTTGGAAAAACAGACAAAGAACAAAGAACCATTTTCTTTGCCCAAGAATTTGGTGCTCATCAGAAGCCTTTCACTCACTCAGCCTGTTCCTCCTCTGAGCAGAAACCTGGCATAAAGAGTGCTGTACAAGGAAGCCAATTGGGATGGAGGGGTGGGAGAGGGCACACAGTAATCCCCACCTGTCTACAAACCGCAGAAAACTAACCTGATACTCTTTGGCCTCTTCTGCATCAACACTAATCAACTGCAAACTCCCTGAATCTTTCACACATGCCAAGCGAACATTCGTGAATATTTCTCTTTGTGACTGCAACTACTTGCAAACCAGAATGAATCTAGAATTTATCTTTTTTTTTTTCTGTTTAGCTTCTAATCTGTTTATGAGGTGTGGGGTTTATAAGGGACTGAATCAAATGAATGTAACAAAAAAAAAAAAGAAAAAAATGCCTTTTCTCAGGGCCAGTGAGTTGCAAATAATTTTTAAAAGAAAAGCCTATAATTACATCATCTCAATAAATTTTTTTATAAAAAAATAAAATTTCCTTCCAGGTCTCTGTTTTTAATCATAAGAGATGGAGTCACAAGGTGCTCCAATGAGGTAAATCCTGTCGGCACTCAATTACAGTGTCAAGTGTGGTCATAGCTTCTTGCTGGCAGAGTCTTGGTTCCAGAACGATCTGTCTCCAGACAAGCGACACCAGGAAGGTCATCACAAACAGTTCAAACCTGAACAGCTGCCACAGAGAGAAATTTGCCAAAAGACGCCTCAGCCAGAGTCGCCTGGGACTCTGCTGTGCCAAGGATTTACTGTTTGCTGAACTGAGGGCTGGATGTTAAATCACCTCAGATCCTCACATAACAGAATAGCTCTTTCTGTTTCTGCTAAGATCATAGATCTCAGTCTCCAGGCAATGAAAATGTAAATGGGAGAAATTCCTGGACTTTTTTAGTGACCTTTTAAAGGGCTTGGAGCCAGTGGTCAGAATGTCTTAGCTGCATGTCCTATGAAAGGGTGCACACCTTAGGATTTCCAGATTGAACATCTTGCAGTTGGCCACCTTTCTGCCTCCAGAAGTGGGTGGAAACAAAGCAATGAGTGGAAAAGAAAACCAGTTATGCACCAAAGTTTCTCAATCCATTCATTTGTTGACAGACGTTTGGGCTGTTGTTTCCATGTTCTTGCTATTACTGTGAATAGCACAGCAGTGAACTTCAGTATACAAATCTCCATTAGTATCTCAGTTCTGTTTTCCTTGAGATAGGTTCCTAGCAGTGGTGTAGCTGGATCATATGGAATCTCTATGTTCAGCTTTTTTGAGGACAGCCAAACTGCCTTCCAGAATGGTCGTACCATTTTACGATGCCACCAACAGCAGCACTTAGGAGCACTGGTTTTGAAAAAGACCATATAACAGAGGTTAGAGAGCATTATGCTGAGACACATAAGAACACATATGACCATTATTGTAAAACCAGAAGGATAACCAATGAGATGTGGATATGGATATACAAAGAGGGAAGGGGAGGAGGCGGGGCTCAGGGTGAGAGGAGGGGAAATCAAAGGGTTGGAGAAGTTGGGGGAGGGGGGAGTACAGGATGAAACCTTTTTTTTAAAAAAAAAAAACAGACTTGTTAACAATTTGGAAGTAAGTTTTGAAAGAAGGAATCAGTAGCCTGAGGGAATATTAAGAGTATTTTGTAGGGGAGCTCTGTGTTTGTGGCTGTTCAAATTCCCCAGAGGCTCCCCCTGTTCTTTCTA